TCCGAGCACTTTGGGAGGCAAAAGTGGGAAGATCACTTCAGATTAGGAGTTTTGAGACCAGCCTTGCCAATCTGGTAAAACCCTGTCTCTACTAAAAATATAAAAATTAGCTTTACGTGTGCACACATGTAATCCCAGCTACTTAGGAGGCTGAAGTGGGAGGTTTGCTTGAACCTCGGAGGCAGATGTTGCAGTGAGCCGAAATCACACTATTGCACTCCAGCCTGAGTGACAGAGCAAGACTCTGTCTCAAGGAAATAAAAAATTGAAATAAATCCCAACAACCCTCAAATTATAAAGGAAATCATAGATGTATATATGGCTAGGTATATAGGTGGAAAGATGTGAAGAGAGAGGAAGAGAATTAGAGACTAACATATCTAAGAAACACACATCAATTTTGTATATCTTGGCATTGAAAGAAAAATAGTTCAGAGGCACACAAAAAAATTATTACAGTGACAGCCCCAACAATGAAAATCCTTGAGTAATATTTATTATCTAAAGAAATAAAAACAAATTTGTTGTTCTATCTCATAGGTTTACATGAGGATACAATTTTATGAATTTTATGCTGTCTTTACATTAATTTTTTAATGCAGAGAACAATTTGGATTGAGATAGAAAATATGTATTAAATGTATTTCTCCCCTGGCTCAATAGTCTTGAATATATTAATGTAAAAATAAAACAACATATCTTTGGAAATTTATATAATTTTTTGGAATTATATAAATCTTTTGGAATTTATATAATTCTATTTAGACATCTGTGTAGCCAAGGAACATTACTAAGCTTTTTATTATTATATTATACTTAAATTCTGGGGTACATGTGCAGAACATGCAGGTTTGTTACATAGGTATACATGTGCCATGGTGGTTTGCTGCATCTATCACTCCGTCATCTACATTAGGTATTTCTCCTAATGGTATCCCTTCCCTATCTGCTACCCACTGCTATCTCTCCCCGAACTCCCCACCCACTGACAGGCCCCAGTGTGTGATGTTTCCCTCCCTGTATCCATGTGTTCTCATTGTTCAACATCGATTTTTTTGGTTTTCTGTTCTTGTGTCAGTTTGCTGAGAATGATGGTTTCCAGCTTTATCCATGTTCCTGCAAAGCCCATGAACTCATCCTTTTTTATGGCTGCATAGTATTCTGTGGTGTGTATGTGCCACATTTTCTTTATCCAGTCTATCATTGATGGGTATTTGGGTTGGTTCCAAGTCTTTGCTATTGTGAACAGTGCCACAATAAACATACGTGTGCATGTGTCTTAGTAACAGAATGATTTACAATCCTTTGGGTCTATACCTAGTAATGGGATTGCTGGGTTAAATGGTATTTCTAATTCTAGATCCTTGAGGAAGTGCCACACTGACTTCCACAGTGGTTGACCTAATTTACACACCCTCCAGTAGTGTAAAAGCATTTCTGTTGCTCCATATCCTCTCCAGCATCTGTGGTCTCCTGATTTTTTAATGTTTGCCATTCTAACTGGAAGGAGATGGTATCTCAATGTGGTTTTGATTTGCATTTCTCTAATGACCAGTGATGATGAGCTTTTTTTTATATGTTTGTTGGCTGCATACATGTCTTCTTTTGAGAAGTGTCTGTTCATATCTTTTGACTACTTTTTGATGGGATTGTTTGTTTTTTCTTGTAAATTTGTTTAGGTTCATTGTAGATTCTTGATATTAGCCTTTTGTCAAATGGGCAGATTGCAAAAATTTTTTCTCATTCTGTTGGTTGCCTGTTCACTCTGATGATTGTTTCTTTTGCTGTACAGTAGCTTTTTGGTTTAATTAGATCCCATTTGTCAATTTTGGCTTTTGATGTCATTGCTTTTAGTATTTTAGTCATGAAGTCCTGGCCCACGCCTGTGTCCTGAATGGTATTGCCTAGGTTTTCTTCTAGGATTTTTATGGTGTTAAGTCTTATGTTTAAACCTTTAATCCATCTGGAGTTAATTTTTGTATAAGGTGTAAGGAAGAGATCCAGTTTCAGCTCTCTTCATATGGCGAGCCAGTTTTCACCAAATCATGAATGAACTCCCATTCACAGTTGCTACAAAGGTAATAAAATGCCTAGGAATACAACTAACAAGAGATGTGAAAGACCTCTTCAAGAAGAACTACAAATCACTGCTCAAGGAAATAAGAGAGGACACAAACAGATGGGAAAACTTTCCATGCTCATGGTTAGGAAGAATTAATATGAAAATGGCCATATTGCCCAAAGTATTTTATAGATTCAATGCTATCCCCATCAAGCTATCAATGGCTTTCTAAACAGAATTGGAAAAAAAAAGAAAAGAAAACCTTAAATTTCACATGGAACTAAAAAAGAGCTTGCATAGCCAAGAAAATCCTAAGCAAAAAAAAAAAAAAAAAAGCTGGAGGCATCATGCTGCTTGACTTCAAACTATACTACAAGGCTACAGTAATGAAAACAGCATGGTACTGGTAACAAAACAGAGGTATAGACCAATGGAACAGAACACAGTCCTCATAAGTAATGCCACACATTTACAACCACCTGATCTTTGACAAACCTGACAAAAACAAGCAATGGGTAAAGGATTCCCTATTTAATGAATATCACTAAGCTTTAAGTTTCATCATGTTCTGTTGCTTGGATCTATTCTTTGTAATTTGAGAAGGTCATACACCCTTTTTGAATTTCAATTTATGTATCTATGAAATGGAGATAATTGCCATTGTGTAACAAGGTTATTATTAAAAGAAAATTTAGAAATGTATGTTCAAAGACCTAGAATATTACCTTAAACACAAGCACTTAAAAAATATTCACTATGTCTGAATCTTTTTCATATTCCAAAAGAGAGACATACCAAAATGGACACTACATTTATCATATCCTTATGTCCTCAGAAGAAAAATAAAATAAGAATCAGAGGCCCTAGATGCAGGTATTTGTCTGCCTTGATTGCCTATGTGACCTCAGTTGCTTCATCTACCTAGAACATAAGCACTCCCTAGAAAATCAGTCCACGAGAACATGGGGTTTGGTCTTGTTCACTCATGTAGGCACTCAAAGCAGATGTGCTAAATAACTAAGTCTAATAATGAAAGAAGTTGCAGTAAGTCATTGATTAAAGGCACTGGCTCAGGGTCCACACAGAGTGGGAATGCTGGGTGACCTTAAGCACAGTTCCTTATTCGCTCTGATTTTCAGTTACCTAACTAGTAAAATGATACAAAAATGGCACTGAATTTTTGAAAGTTATTTGAGGATTTCATGGAATAATATATCAAAAGTGTCTATTGGGGGGAAGAGGGGAGGGACAGCGAGGGGGGGAGCTGGGGAGGGATAGCCTGGGGAGAAATGCCAAATGTGGGTGAAGGGGAGGAAGGCAGCAAATCACACTGCCATGTGTGTACCTATGCAACTATCTTGCATGTTCTGCACACGTACCCCAAAACCTAAAATGCAATAAAAATAAATAAATAAAAATTTTTAAAAAGTGTAAGTGCTTCCTGCTACATAGTAAATTCTTAAAAGAGTGGACTTAAATTTTCATTATTATGATCACAACCTTGGTATTCTAACATTCATGAATTCCCTTACTGCAGTTTCTTAAAACATGTGCTTACATGTCAGCACATTAATCAACTAAATAGTTCCTTTCCTTTGCTGCCCCTGTTGGGATTGCCTTACTGGTGCTGTAGACATTGGGAGAATTCCCACTCTGTTTTCTTTTCCTGGATTGTACAAATTCTGCACTACTGAAATCTAAATTCACTGACTAGACTTACATAATGCAAAAGTATCACAGTAGCCTGGGTTCAGAATTCCTGAAGCCATTCTCGCAATCTCCAAACTATGACAGAGCCATGGCTGTCACCAAAAGTTGGACTTCTGTTTATTTATACAATTTATAAATGACAATAAATATAATAGATATACCTTATAAATGTCTCAGTAGTTTGGCTTCCTCCTATATTAACATGGGAATAGTCTTACTATTTGTGCAATTGTTTTTATTTGCCTGAATTTTTAAGTAGCCCTTTGAGACTTTCAAAAAGCTTTTATAGATATTATATACATAAAAGAAAACACAGATATACAAACACGGAAACACATACAAACATACTCATACATGCTATCACACACACAAAAGGGAACATGCCATGCCTAGTAAGATTAATTCAGAAACTCAAAAGTGTCCCTAGCAAGGTTTCTGATTTTGAGATTATATTCCTTTATTCTTTTCCTTCTTCTGCCTTAAAATTTCAACTCAAGGACGCTCAATATTGTTATAAACATATCAAAAAATACCTGGGCTCTCTGACTTACTATTAACACTCTTATAATGGATCAGCTCAGGAAAACCTTTGCTCTGTCATTTTCTTGCTGTTTGCTTGTGCTTGCAATTAGTAACATTCTTAATCCATGGTTTTCTTACAGGATGATTTGCAGGCCCTTTGCTGATTAGATTAGTGTTAGTTTAATTAAAAATAGATAATGTATTTGATAAACCAGGCACACATAAATTGAAATACGAGAGAAGATAAGAATAGGAGAAAATGCTACTATCGAGTTCTCCTTTTTCTGGTTTATCTTATGTGCAACTATACCCCTAGACCCTTTGACATACAGATACATTTGGATCATCAGGTTATTACATATACTTATGATTATTAAGGCTGAAACTTTCTTCTTTATTTTTAGATTAATAATAAAACTAATTTGTTAAATCCTTAGAACCATTCTTAATCTGTATTTTCACAGAACTGTGTAGGTATCTTTGTTATAGCTCTTATTACTTTGGATTTTGGTTGTTTACATATGAACAGAGTATAAAGAGTTCAGAGGAGGATTAATTTTTGATTCCTACTAGAGAGCACAGAACTTGCATATAGAAAATAATCAACACTTTTGTGCTTAATTAGCGAAGGAATTATTGGCTTTGTCCCACACCAACAGAAACACTGAACTATGCTTACTAATACAGTCACGCCTCATTATTGCAGGTACTGGTCCAATATGGCTGAATGAAGTGTTTTGTTTTGGGAGAGAATCATCTATTGAAGAATGTAAAATTCAACAATGGGGCACAAGAGTCTGTTCACATTCTGAAGATGCTGGAGTCACTTGCACTTTATAAAACATCATTTTCATTCACATCTATGAAATCGCTGCTCAAAAATGATTTTATTACCTTGCTTCTATAAAATCCATTTAATGAATATTTAAGATATTAAGAATATTGCCCAAATAGTATTTTTTTATTTACAGGATAAACATATTGAACACCTTCATACTTACTATATGGCTATATTTAAACCATTTTAGCTTCTGTAGGTATTTTAATGGAATTTTCTAATATAATGACTTATATATTGAATTGAACATATTGATATTTAAGGCTTCCAGATTACAAAGGCCAAGGGTAACAGAAATGCATACCAATAATTGGCTCCAATTTGTAGCATCTTCACCAGGAGATTATAGTTTTTTGCTCTACTTGTCTTTGCAATGTATTTAGCTGATTTTAATTACTTTCTGAATAATGAAAGGGTTGAGAAGATATCTTTTGTGCCTAGATTACAAAATCTGCAATCCATACATATTATTTTAAAGGAAGAATGTTATCCAACCATTAAGATCTCTCAATGTGCAGTAACATGTGTATTAGACATCAATGTTCATGATATGTCTTGGCCAGGATGGGCCAGGGAGTTTATTTTTCTTGTCACGAACTTACAACTGTTTAATGGAATCATGGAGTAAATTGAAAGCAGCATATATGAGAACACTGACTGTCATTATATTTGTCCAGATAATTGGTGGATCAAATATGCCATTTGTTAATGGGAAGTTTAGTTTGTTAGGCGTTTTAAATTAAGTTGAATAATTAGCTTGTTACAATTCTAGGATACGGTGTTTAAAATTTAAATCTAATTACTCCATTTTAACAAACAGAATGCAAACATCTTGAGTGTGGAAGGAAGAGAAGTTTCAACTCTTTGGAGTCTTTTATGAAGTGAGTCAACATTTACAACCAGAGAGAGAGAGAGAGAGAGAGAGAGGGGGAGAGGATCTTTAGCCTTAAAGGGACAATGCCCCAAAAAGTAGCTTAGCAACATTTTGTTAATAGTCAACCCATCCCCAGGACCATAGTCTAGAATGTGAAAAGCTGCGCTGAAACCCAGTAATTAATTCTACCCTGAAAGTGACTGCTGCAGGAAGACCAGCAGTTGATAATAAAGCCCAGATGAATTCCACCTCAGCCCTGAAAAGAACATAATTCTCAAGTTTCCTATGACCAATTCACGGAAAAATGTAATTGTAAAATAGTACTATTATGGAATTACTCTACTTTCTTTAATAGCAGCAAATGAAAGCATAAGCTTAGGCAACTTTTCATATCCTAAGGTCTCACCACACATAGTAACCAAGTAGTAGATTCATAACCCTCCAACTGGAAAAAGCAAAAACCTTACCTTGGAATTAGAATTATTGTAAACAGCCTACTGAAAATGCACTTTTATCATGTAACAACCTTTTACTGGTTGAATATTGCTGCTTTTCTCTGGCAGTATAATTTTGTGGTTAAGGGAATTAATTCTGAATGTATACTTTCTGTCTCAAACCCTGGCTCTACTCGCTAGTTATTAATTCTTTGTGCTCAATTCCACTATCTAGGAATTTTCTTCCAAAGGTAAATCCAATGATTTGAAAGAATCATTTGCATCATCAGCCTGCTTGGGATGCCTGAGCTCAGTGTCTATGGGTTGCTAATATTATATTGCTCTATGATATATGTATGTTGATTTCTCACTTACATATTGTTATATCTTTAATAAGTAATCTAAAAATCTTTTTTGTATTTGAGAGAATCTACTAAGTTCAGTACAGTCTAGGAAAGAACTTAATAGCACCAATAGATACAGAGGATTTAATTTACTTTGGAATGTTGAAATGCATTAGCTCCATTAAAACAAACAAACAAACAAATAAAAACCAGAAATTTGCAATTTGGTTTTTTTGGAAAAAGAGATCAGCTGACCAGAATGAATGTATCCTACTTGTTGAACCATCTAGCATCACATTAAGTTCAAAATGTATATTTAAATAAAAGAAGAAGAAAAAGAGCAAAGGGGTGTTGAAATGCAGAATAACCTTTGATGTCTAAGAGCCAAACATATTCCATCTAAGTTACCTGAATAAGTAGTTTCAAATCAAAGCTTGCTATCTTTTTCAAAATGTATGGACCATAGTTGTTTGTACTCAAGTAAAGTATTACATTAAAGCCTGTGACTATTAAAAATCATGTACAGTTGACCCTTGAACAACACAGAGGTTGGGAGCATTGACCCCCTGCACAGTGAAAAATCCACGTATATCTTTGGACTCTCCCAAAACTTAGCCACAAATAGCCCAGTGGTGTCCAGAATCCTTACCAAGAACAGTCAATTAATGCATTTTATATTACTAAGAATGTAGTCAATTAACACATTTTATATGCATGATATCCTGTATTTTTACAATAAAACTGGAGAAAAGAAAATATTTTTTAAAAATCATGAGGAAGAGAAATATATTTGCTATTATCAAGTGAAAATGAATCATCATAAAGTTCTTCATCCTTCATTGTTGTTTTCATATTGAGTAGGCTGAGGAGGAGAAAGAGGAAGAGTTGGATTTGCTGTCTCAGAGGTTGCAGAAATGGAGGATCCATATATAAGTAGAACAGTGTACAGTTCAAACCAATATTGTTTAAGAGTTGACTATAATAATATTTGCTATTAGGGTAAAATGAAATATTTGTAGCCTCAGTAATTTGTTTGATTAGGATGGCAGTGATGTGTATGCCCAAAGCAATCACAGTGAAGAGATAGAAATTTACCACCACTGGGTTACAATAATAAGCATATTTACTGCCAGAGTTGGAGAACCTCAAGGCTGGCGAAGCTCAGGATCCCATATTAACTAAATAAAATCAAGATTCTGGCAGAGAGGAGGAAAAAGTCAATGTCTGTCAGGTAGACAATTACCAATGTTCCCTTAGAAAAGCACAATTAAGAGGTGATTATGTTGACTTTTTCAAATTCATTGAGGCAGTATGTAGAAATTTTAGGAATATTTGTTTGGCACTAGATATGGCTTTGGCTTTTAATCACACGAGTAACAATAATATCACCTTTTTTTTCAACTATGCATTTTCTTTGCATTTTTTCTTTAGTAAATGTTAGGTAAGAGATTTTTAAATTTTTTTCTTTAACCACACCAATCTGCTCACATAACATAGTGAAATATGCATTCCTTTTTGATATTTATCAGCTATTTTATATTAAAACCTTTTGTAGAATTTATGTGTTTCAAATGTTAATATCGCAACAAGAACTTATTTTAGGTATATGTTATTGTTGAGTAATTTACTTAAACAAACAAAAACAAAAAACAGTATTAACTGAATGGTGGAGTGGGAAGCTTCACCCTGCCTCCTCCTGGATGCAGTGATGTTTCCTGTCTTGAGGCAGTATTGGGCAGTCTACATTTGTAGTTTGGGCCCTTGGTCCCTGATTCCAGAGGAAGCAGAGATGACCTTCTTCACAAACGGTTGTGTATGTCTGTTTTAATTTGTCTAAGAAATTACCTGAAGGACTGATGCAAAGTATTCATCTCTTTTAATTTGTCTAAGAAATTACCTGAAGGACTGATGCAAAGGCCTGGTAGCAAAAGCTGAAGATAGTTTCTTTGGGAAATTAGGTGTTTTTAAAAAAATGAGTACAGGGAAATTTAGAAAGCCCCATGCTTGCCCAGGGCAAAACACATGCCTAGAAAAGGCCTGAAAACAAGCTAAGCTTTCACCTTGGGCTGATCTCTAGGCTTAATGCAAGTCTGAATAAGTGTTGAAGGAGTGCCCAGGCACAGAAACAATCTGCAAACACTGGGAGAGATGGATTATTGTTGGTTGTGTTTGTTAGTTGTGGGTTTTGTATTTTGTCTTTTGTTTTATTTTTAGTGATCAGCATTCAAAAACACTAACTTAACACAAAGCAAAAAAAAAGAGACTTCAATGATCACTAACAATAAAGAACACAGTCTTGGTAAAAATTATTCAGGATAGTCACAAAACAAAAATAAGTGAAATAAAATAAAAGAATGGTCACTGAGGAAATACAGATGTTATACTTACTTGAGAAGACATCAAACAACTGTCTAAAAATATGCTTTAAAAAGTAATGGACAAAGTATGAAAGGAAATAAGAAAAATAATGTATTAGCAATATTAGAATATCAATAAAGAGAGACAAATTACATAAAAAAAGAGCCAAACAGAAACTGTATCTGAAAGTACAATTACTAAAATGAAAACATTATTAGAGGGCTATAACAGCAGATTTCAATAAGCAGGAGAATCAGTTCATCTGAAAACAGGTCAATTTAAATTGAGTCTGAGAAGCAGATAGAAAAAAAATAATGAAGAAAAGTAAAAGAGCTTAAGGGACATCTGGGACACCATGAAGTGGGCTGAAATATACATTATGAGAGCCCCAGAGATAGACAGAAGAAAGAATATCTAAAAAATTACTAAACAAGATTTCCCAAATTTGATGGTAGGCATGAATCTGCAAGTCCAAGAATCTCAAAAATCTCCCACACCAAGAGACGCACACCAAGACAAATTGGTCAAACTGACAAAAGAAAAAGACAAAGAGAATCTTGAAAGTAGCAAGGGAGAAGCAACCTGTCATACACAATGGACCCTCAAAAAGGTTAATAGCTGATCAAAAACTATAAGGCCAGAAGACATTTGGATGACATATTTAAAGTGCTGAAAGAAAAAGAAGAAACAAAACCCCAAAACCTGTTAACCAGGAATATCATGTCTTGTAAAAATGTCCTTCAAAAGTGTGAGAGAAATTAAGATTTTCCCATATAAACAAAAGCTGAGGAAATTTATTGCCACTAAATCCTGCCCTCTGAGATATGCTAGAGGAAGTCCTTCAGATTGAAATAAAAGAACACTAGACATTAAATTAAAGTCATATAAAGAAATAAAAATTTTCAGGAAAGGTAATTACATAAGAAAATATAAAAGTTACTCTTGTATTTTGTGTTTATAATTTCATTTTTGAATTTCCTGTGTGATTTAAAAGGCAGAAGTGTTAAAAATATAAATTTATTGTATTATACACACAATATATAAAGATGTAATTTGTGACAACATAAAGTGTGGGAAATATGAAATGCTTAGAGGCAGAGTTTTTTTTTTGTTTTTTGTTTTTTGTTGTTTTTTCTTTTTTAGATGAAATTTCACTCTTGTTGCCCAGGCTGGAGTGCAATGGTATGATCTCAGCTCACCACAGCCTCCACCTCCTGGGTTAAAGTGAATATCCTGCCTCATCCTCCCAAATAGCTGGGATTACAGGCATGTGCCACCATGCCCAGATAATTTTGTATGTTTATTAGAGAAGGAGTTTCTCCATATTGGTCAGGCTGGTTTTGAACTCCCAACCTCAGGCAGTCTGCTCACCTCAGCCTCTCAAATACTGGGATTACAGGAGTGAGCCACCATGCCTGGCCAAAACAGAGTTTTTAAATGTTATTGAAGTCAAGTTGGTATCAATTTAAGATAAATGTCATAAATTTAGGATGTTAATTAATCACCAGGGTAGTCATTAGAAATAGTCTAGAAATATTTACACAAAAGGGAATAAGAAAATCAAAATGGTTTACTGCAAAAAAGTCAATACAAAAGAAGGCAGTAATGGAAGAAATGAGAACCATAAAGATATAAAACATATAGACAATGTCAATATTTCAAAAGTTGGTTCATTCTTGTCAGAATTACATTAAATTAAAATGGATTAGGTTCTCTAAGGCAGCAATTGGAAGAATGAAATTTAAAAGAAAATGGTAACTACATGTTGTCTGCATGCAACTCACTTTAGATTAAAAGACATGAACACATTGAAAGTGAAGTGACAAAAAAAGCTTATTTCATGCAAATAGTAACCAGAAGAGAAATGAAATGCTTCTTTCAAAATCAGACAAAATATAATTTAAGTCAAAAACTGTTTAAAAAGACCATTATATATTGATTGAAGGACATTATATTATCAATAAGAGACAATGTAAATTAATCCAAAAGATGTAATAATGATAAACATATATGCACCAAAGCTGTGAGTCCCAAAATATATGAAGCAAACATTAACAGTATAAAGGGAGAAACAAACAGTTTTACAATAGTAGTTGAAGACTTCAATACAATCCTTTCAAAGATGCTTAACATTTCTAGAAAGAAGATCAATAAGGTGATAGAGGACTTGGACCACCCTATGCAACAACTGGACCTAACAAGCATATATATATAGCATTTCACCCAACAGCAGCAAAATGCACATTCTTCTCAAGTGCACATGAAATGTTCTCTGGCATATAACATATTTGTGATTGAATGGCCACCCTAAAATCTCAATAAATCTTAAAAGACTGAAATTGTAGAAGTATCTTTTCCAGCCCTAGTAGAATAAAACTAGAAATTATTGTAATTATTGCATTATTATACAAAGAAAATTGGAACATATATAAATAGGTGGAAATTAAACAACACACTCTTGACCAATAGGTCAAAAAATAACTGAGATGGGAATTAGAAATACTTGGAGGATGGGAATGAAAATAAAAACATAATAAATCAACACTTAGGCAATGCAGTATAAGCAGTACTG